TTAGCGTACTTATCATGCTCTGCGGGTCCAAGTTTGCGGAGCAGGAGGCGAACCTTCCAACTATCATCTTGAAGTGAAAAATCGCCCCTGAACAGGTCTTCATAGCGATGAAACCAAGCATCAAACGTCATGCCAGCTGAGGGTTCATAGCAAAATTCGTTGATACTGCCAGTGATTCCATCAACCGACTGTGGGACGCTCGACGCAGCCGGTGAAGCCAAAGATGTAGTTGATAGTCGCTCCGTAAGTACTTTGATGAGTTGCAGTTGTTGCTCAAACATTACTTTGAGTTGTTCGGCCTCCATCTTGCGTCGCCAAATATGTTACGGTTCGATCACGCTGCGAGCAAAACAATATGATATGCGGATCGTGGCAATACTGTATCCCCAGCTATGTTGCTTGATCCAGACTCCTAGCACGGCGGATAGTAAGAAGACGAAAAAACCTCGGGCACAAACTTTAATGGTCCAACAACACGCGATCAACAGGCGATCATGGGAAAAAATGACAATGCATATATATATTCATAGGTTGACCTTGAAGATGCCGGAAGTTCGCTAGCACACATAAAAATGCAGAGTTTTTTGGGGGATATTGATATCCCCAACAACCATATACCCAAAAATCTCTACTTTCTTCTTCAAGAGGTTTTTCGGGGCGGGTCATGACATGGCAGCCTGAAAGGTAAGCCATAAAGTGGACCTTGCCATGTTGTGATGGTTTGTGTAACTCCACTACCCAATGAGCTGTAATGGTGGTGTCTGTGACACCCACAGTCTCTCATACCAGTTTGGTCAGTGGTTATCGGTCTGACGAACACAGTCTTCTGGTCCTCCAGGTTGGGGGTTGGAACATGTGTGGCGACTTGTTCTGTGAAAAGTGAACTGCACTTGGTTGAGGACCTTAATCGTCTTCTTGTTTAGATGTGGCCGCCCTGGCAGCCCACGTACGGCCGAGATACTTACAAATAAAAGCAATCTCATGGAAAATCGGCCGTCGCGTAGTGTCACCAGTCGGGTCGACTCACTTGCTGCGTATAGTAGGGCGGGTAAGCGGAAACGTACTACTGCTGACGCCTCCCTTATTACACTTTCGATTTTTCCCTTTTTCCGCACGTCCGAGCACTTGTATTGATCGGATTGTTCACCGTGCATCACACTCAGGTGCAGGTCCGGTACGTCCGACTTCAGTGACAACCCTGAACACCTCGAAATCTGTTTTCAAACCCCGAAAGCCTATCTGCTTGACTGCCTTTAATGTTCACACACTGAAGCAAGCAAAGCAACAAGCGACCCTCGTTTGTACCTGGATTCCCTTTGTATTGATATATGCCGTTTGTCAGTAACCAGGATACAAGACACAGCTACCGTGATTGAACTGACTGCCCCCTTCGATCTCTTTCAGGTTCCGACAACACACCTCTGGGAATGCAGAAGCTGCTGCAGTTGCGTATGCTGGGTGGTTTTTGTATTGAGCGACCTATTAGAAGCATCTCTACTTGATTGGATATCCGTTGCTAGTCGATTCTGTGTGGTTCGTTTGATAGCGTCTGTGAGGGAATCTCGAGAATATGAGGTCCATCCCAAACTGTCTGTTATGTCTGCTTACGCCCCAACGGACTGTAGCCATGAATCTATGATAATGTGGTTGCTGGTGGTATGAACACACAGGTAGGTAAACTAAGCACTGCTGAGGTCCGATTAGGTGGTCGCCTTGGCTGACGTAGAACCCTGGACGGTGAACGTAAAACCCCTACGGTCCCGGAGATTTTTGGTTGCAGATGTTCTCTGAAGCGCCACCGAGCTTCTGGTCAAATGACCTCCTATCCGCAATGTCAAAGATGGCAGTGAAGTCCTCAATCAGAGATTGTCTGATCTTTTTGCCTTAATTCTGGAAAAGGAGGTTCCTCCTGATAACTGGGAAGAGTTGGTGGTGGTGTGCATTTCCAAAAAGGGCTCAAAGTGAGGTAACCACGGGGGGTCAGCTTGGGTTCGGTTGTAACGGGACTGTTGGCGTCACTGGTGCTTCGTTGCCTTATGGCGGCTCGTGAAACACTGACTCCAGGACAGCAAGCGGGATTCCGTCCTTGTAGGGGTTGCGTTGAACAAATATTCATACTGTCAGGTGCTAGAACGACGCCATACGTATAAGCGACTTACAGTTTTAGTACTCTTGGATTTCCAAAGCGCATTCTACCCGGCTGACCAGTCTGTCCTGTTTACATACTTCCCCATAGAGAAACGCACCGGAAGCTTGTGAACACAATGTCCGTCAGAGGTGCTCCCCCTCTCCATTTCCACTTAATTCCGTGATCAATATTGATACGAACGCTCGAAGGTCTTCAAAACCGTGACGTTAAAATAACCTCTGAGGAAAACCTTCTTGATCTTGTGGTATATGCAGACGACATCGTTCTCCTCTTCGTAGAAGACGAGAAACAATCAGTTGTTTACCAAACTTCTTCGAAGCGATGACTTTTAGATCTTTATTCTTCGTGATCTTTTTTGAGGAATTTTGCTTCACCGACGTCAGCTCTCTATGACCGGTCCTCGCATTTACTTCTCTGATATCTTGAAATTTTGCACTGAATATTTAATACGCTTCTTACTTGCCAAGTCGCGAATTTTCACTTCCGTATCTTGTCATTTCCTTAGTATTTCGGCAGCTTAGTCAATAGCTCCTCTCCTGTCTTTTCAGGTGTCTCAACCGCTGCACCGTGCCTGAGATCAAAACTGTCACTCAATGAAAACTTGCCTAATCCAGTTGTACAATGACACGGGCTCTGGAAAGTTGAGCAGCTTGCAGTTACGAACCACGTTACAGACGTTGTTTCCGAAAGCCTCAGTTATTGAAACCGATGGACGGCGTCTTCGTGAACGGTACTTGTTGAACGAAACAACCCTCCTCTGTTTCGGTGGGGGGTACGACCTGGGATTTTTAGAGACACTAGGGCCTTCAGGTTGTGCTGTGATACGGGAATTTATCCAAAAAGGCGGGAGGTATTTGGGCTTGTGTGCTGGTGCATACTTCGCTTCGGACCAGTGCGTATTTGACAAGGGAGGACCGCTGGAAGTGTGCGGACAACGATTAATACGACTATTTGAGGGTAAACACTCTACTTCCGCATCTGGTTAACACCATCTCAGGAGATGCTGTTGGACCTTACTATCCTGGGTTTGTTTATCACTCGAACGAGGGTTGCCGAGCCGCTTCAGTGGAACGGACGAATGAAACACTCAAAGTTCCGGCGGCGGTTAGCTATTTTAATGGCGGACCCACATTTCAGTGTCAGAGGTGGCATCGGTCAAAGGTACTTTACACATAGTGAGTGGCTCTTTGATAGTTTCTTACCACTTGAAGTATACCTAACGTGTTTTGGTGGGTTCAATTTGAGATAAACTGCATTCTTATGAGCAACAGGGACATACTTTACTTGGTCGCACGCTTGGGTAAGCTCGATGGCCTAGATCAGGGGCGTTCACATTTATGTCGATCACTTTTCCGAAAAATAACGGTAAACGGCAGTGATTTCACTGTGACCTGAGTGGGGACCCCATGGAATCAACTCACCGGTGATTAATAACACAGGCAGAAGTGGTCCAATCGCGCGGTTAGTGGCGCGGCGGCATCAAAGCTATTGCCCTCCATGCGTGGCTACTCATTTATCAGACTAACGGAACATGCCATCGTCTCCAATCATTGGCGGTATATCCCGCTTTCTGGTGATTGGAACTGTAGCTGATGGAACTAGTGTACCCATGGGACTCAGTTAATAGCTGATGAATTTCTTGTGTGTGATTGAAGAGCGACTCAAAAACATGGACGAGGCCTCATGTCGAAAGTAAGGTTAATGTCTAATTCTTGACACGGCGCGCATTTCCTGGTGCACTTTCTCACAAAATGAGACATCTTCATTTGAAACGAACTATTTCGTAGGCAGTGAATTCATAAGTAGCTCTGTATATGTTTTGTTTATGATGTACAGTATATTCGTTCTGGCGGTACGGGGACTGATTTCGTTACACGCACCAATCTATCAGCTCGCGCGTGCAATGCGCAACTAACTACACCCCCCCCCAAATCATCGGTGAATGAAACTGCGGCAGCTACAACCACTGTACGACGAGTACGCGGTTCTTACAGCTGACAATGATGATTCATGTAGAAAGGGTTTCCATTTTGGAATAAATTAGCTTCCTCCGGATGCCGTCGAACATCAGTAGATGGCTTTCCGTGTGCTCTCGATGTTAACCGCTGAGCTAGAGACAGTTCACTCACTGAACTTACTGACCGGAAGTCCTTGGTTCGAATCCAGCCTCTGCATTTCACCTGCTCCTGTCTTGGCATGGACAACCTGGCAGTATCTCAGCTCAGTAATGACGAAACTACGACGTCCTCGCTGGAAAGAATAGAAGTTTCGAGGGTATTGATGGGTATCATTGATGCCTTTAACTGTAATCTTTGGGAGGCATGGCTGTTACTAATCAAATTTGTGTCACTTTCTTCCAATTACCTAACTGTCAGGTGTTGACTTTTCAGGATGACGCTTTTTGAGTCTCAAACTATGTTTCTGCCTGCCGCGTTTCTTTGCTTAGAACGGGATTTCATATAATGTTTACAGTGTGTTTGTGCCCGCGGCGGTATTTCTGTCCTTAGTGATTATGGGACTGGTAGCGAAGTGTTCTGTTGGAAGCCGGTCTGCGCAATACATTGCAGTTGATAGTTGGTATCTCTCTCTGTATGTGTTTGCCACTCCTCTTGCCCAGCTCATCTGGAATGTGCTGAAACACTTTTTTCTCATCTGTTTCTACTTATCTGCAAAGTGAGAATTCCAACGACCCTGCAATCATAGCATGTCGACTTGGTCGTGGTTGGGGCATACTGAGTGGTGTTCACTTCGAATATGACCCCAAGCTCTTATACGAGGATGATCCAACTGTTCATGTGAAGCGCGTTTGTGATGAACTGTGGGCGGGCAACGAGTGTAGAATAGAGCTGGTGCGGCAACTTGTGGGGAATCTGTTAAATCCCGACTCCAACCTGGTTTCAGACCTACCCTGTGAATAACACACATTCGTGGACCAAGTGAATTATGGCTCTATCTGATTTGTAACTGGAATTGCTCATTTTCAGGATGACTGTGATTTCATAAAAAGTCTTTTCGTCCAATTATACGATAGGACACGAACTCTGTCGAAGATGGTTATTGATACTAACCATCTTTTTTTTCATTTTTTGAACTTGAGATATTGGAGTTTCTGCTGTGGTTCTTCCTATCGTGCCTGGGGAGGGGGAACGATTAAAAACCAAAAAGACAAGACTATCCATCTGTGAACATCATGTTGCTTAAGCTTTGATATCAATGCTCAGACAGGGCTGTTGCGAGAGTCGAGTAGTTCCAGGAGGATTAGAAACAGAATAGGAAGACGTAATGTACGCTTTAATCGTCTAATAACTGTAGTACATGAGCTGAAAATAGAGTAAGAATCACGAGACGAGTGGTTATGCAAATGTATGGGTTATATAGTCATGACATTCTCCCCGCCTTGGAATAAGTGTGTACTTTGCGGAGAAAGAATGTAAAAAAATAAAACGCTGTAATAGTTACATGGAGTCGTTTACGCCTCTCTGTTGCGTAGATTATATGGGTGAGTGCGCTGTTGTCGGATAAGAATGTCCAAGTGATTTCCTGGATCTGCACTAGAATGGGATGGCGAGGCATCGTTAATAGGCAAGAGTTCAGTTTCTGAGCAACCACGGTGGATTGTTGGTGTTGTGTGAGGCTCCTCTTGTTCGGCGATATGTATTGGTTCCTGTTCTGTGTCAGATGTCATGTCGTTGCCTTTGGGAGCCAAGCGGCGCAAGGATACGGTTTCGTGTTTGCCATCTGGACGAACTATGTGGGCGTACTGTGGATTACAAGAGACGAGTTCCACTTCCTCTACCAGAGGGTCATATTTAGAGACTCGATCATTGCGTTTTAAAAGGATTGGCCCAGGGACAGTAAGCCAGGTAAGTAGGGAGGCACCGTTGGCTGATCGTCGTGTGAACGGCATAAAACGTTCGTGTGGGGTACAGTTGATACTAGTACATAACAGGGATCTGATACAGTGAAGAGCATCAAGGAGGACAGCCTCCCAATGTGTGACAGGCAAGCCGCGCGATTTTAGAGCCAGGCAGATGGTCTTCCAAAGGGTACCATTAAGTCGTTCAACCTGACCATTACATTGTGGATTATATGCAGCGGTGTGACTACTGGCAACGCCTTTATCGAACAAAAATTGTTTGAGTTCAGTTGACATGAATGCAGAACCGCGATCTGAGTGAATATAAGCAGGCATACCAAACAGTGAAAACAGTTGGCTCAAACAACGAATTACAGTGGAAGAGGACGTATCGGCGCAGGGATAAGCAAAAGGGAACCGAGAATACTCGTCAACGATTGTTAAGAGGTACTTATTACGAGTGTTTGAGGGAAGTGGGCCTTTAAAGTCGATACTAAGGCGTTCGAACGGTTGTGTGGCTTTGATAAGCTGGCCACGAAAGGTGTCACAAAATTTTGGTTTGAGCTCGGAGCAAGTGGAACAGTTGGACACCACACGTCGGATATCGCTGACTGAAAAAGGAAGATTCTTAGAACGAACAAAATGTGCAAATCTCGTGACCCCGGGATGGCATAATATGTTGTGAAGCTCTTCAAGTTTTTCCGTCCCAGTAATGTTGGCACAAAGGTTACGAGATAGGGTATCAGCAACGCGGTTATCTGTTCCAGGTCTATAGACGACGTCGTAGTTGTACCCTGCCAACTCGATTTTCCACCGTTCAATCTTGTCGTTCTTTATTTTACTTTTCTGTTGGTTCCCATACATAAA